TAAGTGACTACAACCTCCTTTCTCTTCTATGATTTGGGAAAAATTAATAACTTGTTTTTGTATTGATTATCCTTGTACTGAAGTATGAATAGCTGTGGATGGAAACTAGACAATAAGCCCAGATTCTCAGAGGTATTTAGGAGCCAAACTGCTCATCAAAATTAACAGGAGTTAGATTTGAAAAAAAAACTGTTGTGGTTTTGGGCTTTGGTAACTCAAACCATAATGAAATCTTTGAGCATATATTAGCAATCTACAGATTCAAGTTGTACTGGTAGAGAATTTTTATAGGGTAAGAGAACTTTTCCATTGACCAATACAGTCAGCAGTTGTTGAATTTCTTTGTAAAGCTGTTTATTTAGTCCTGTTAAACCGTTTTCACAAATAGAACTGGATAACCTTCTCCTGAGGAGAAAAACAAAGTGGACTGATGAAACAATGGTCTGGGACAGAGTGGTCCTCCCAGGGAAACCTAGGAGAAACTGTGCCTGAGAAGGAGGATTGAGCTGGAATTTAGATTGCAGAAGCATAGTTTATTTGTAAATATAGCCATCCTCAAGGAATGCTGGGAATTTGGCCTGCCAGTGTATGTACAGACATTGGTGGAGCCACCTAAGAATTCTATTTGCTTGCAGCATTTTTAACAACCAGTAATTTTGTCTGAGAAAGGCAAGCATGTATGTATGAGGTTCCTCAAAAATCAAAGGAATTGCCATACCTCGCCAGGCCCCGGACCAGCTAGTGTACTATCTTTTTTTTGACACTTACAAGGAAGAGACATTTAAAAGAAAAGTGAAAGTAACTTTAAAATTGGAAGACACAAGATAATCTCTCTTTCAAAAGATTTTGATTCTCAAATCTAATAATTGGCAATTAGCTTAAATTCCAAAAAAACCCTCACTTCTAATACTTTTTAATTAGCATTAGTTAGTATAATCTGCTAAACCCTGTTTGACCTGTTGGCTCTAACATGTTCCTGGGTGAAGTTCCACAGTATATCTTTTTCACACAATGTGTAATATTTCCTTTTTTTCAATCTTTAATTTGTCGTCTTTCTGTTTCCTATACCATTGCTTTTATGTTCTGAGGGACAGAAATTTATGCTTTACCTTTTCTGTTCTGTTAAGTATTTTACTATTCCTACATCAGAAACAATGATTACATTCATTTTTCTCCAGTAAAATTATGATATTTAGGATCTAGCAATCAAGCCCTAAGGACTAAAAATAAATAAGTAATAAAACTAAAATAAAATCAACATATTTAAACTAAAGATCCAAACACCCAACTAAAGACCCCAAAATAGGTTTCTTTACTAATTCCTATATCTACTCTTTTGTTTATTTTGGTTATAATAATATTGTGTTACCTGTCATTCTTGTAGAAATTCAACCACCATAGGCTGATTTTTGCTAGCACTGATGACAGAGGTCTTGTGTACAGTCACCCCAACTGATGGAATCTGTTGGATGTTTCCTGGTGAATTATAGATGCAAAATGCAAGAGATTTCTTCACTGCAATGTATTCTCTTATTTACCTGTTGGACATACTGTGGAAAATTCCACTATAGTGCCATATTAATTCACCCTAGAATACTGGGAAATTTGAGTATCTTCTTCAAGTGAGATGATGTGGCTTCAGAGCAGCCAGCTAGCAATTTATTTTTTGAGTTCAGTTTGGGTCAAGTGGCTTGGGGGAAATTTCAGATGATAGAGTGATTTTATGTATTTTGAACTCTTGGAAAAAACCTTTCAGGAGCCAGATTTGGTGATTAAAAAAATCCAGTTCTAAGAACAGAAACAAAAGACAAAATTAACCAAAAGATAATTAAGCAGAATTGCATAGCATCTGTTTTCAGGATAAGCTTGTGATACTAAGATACAAATTGAGAGAGCCAAGTTTTAGGAGTTACTTCAGTCTTGACTTTTGGAACAATTTCATAGCACCAAGACTATTGCTCTTCTCCTACCCACAAATTCCACCCTTTGCTCCCAAAACAACCTTTCAGGAATGTGTTGCACCAGAGGTGGTGTGGTTCTGCAGTACCTTACTTCTAAATCTAGGTACAAGCAGCCATGCCTTTTAGTGACAGAAGAGGTAACCTCCAGGTAAAACACTGTATCCCAGCTAAAACAGTAGAATCTCAAGATTCCTTCCTTTCCTTTTAAACTAACCTAGATCCTCTTATCTCTACTTGAATTTCAGCTAAAACCAACTTACAATAAATAAATCAATCTTTCTCCTTTCCTTACTGGCATTCAGGAGGAGGACTACATTTTAAATAAAGGAGCAATATGGCAAAAAGCAAAAAACCGCCAAGCCAGAGATGTGGGAGAGGAAGAGAGAATGTACAACCTCACAGTAAAAAGAGGAAAAAATTAAATGTGGTGGGCTTGCCAGCGGGAGCTCAGTGCACTGGCTTTGGAAAAGTTTGGAATGATTGATTGGGTTTTTTCCTTTCCCCCACCAATCAGATGAAGGCTGGGGAGAAGTTAGCCCCACCCCTACTGCAGGGTGAGGCAAAGAGCCAGACCTGAGTGGGGTCTAACACCCCCCTCTCTCTGACACCCCTGAAAGGAATAAAAGAGCAGCGTGCCTGGCACATGGGGGGTTGTGTCGAGGGACAGAGAAGAGGGCAAGGAAGAGCTGATAGAGCTGGTCAGCCAGGCAAAGCTGTTGCCCTGGAAGAGCCTGAAGACTCTTCATTGGGCAGGGAGCAGCAGGTGGCTGCCTTCCCCCATCCCTGCTGTGGGGGAGCACAGTGTAGTGCATGGCTGCTGCACGAAGGGTCCGAGAAGGACCAAGACCCTGGGAGCTGCACAAGGCAGCTTGGGTCTCCAACACCTGGCATGAGGCCAGGCAGTCAGTGCACAGGCGGTGAACGGAGGGCCTGAGAGGGACTGAGATCCTGGGAGCTGCACAAGGTGGCTTTGGTCTCCAACTCCTTGGCACGAGGCCAGGCACGTGGTGCACAAGTCGAGGCATGGAGCGTCTAGGAGTGGACTGGGATTCCGGAGCTGCACAAGGCGGCTCAGGTCTCCAAACCCTTGCACGAGGCCTGGCACACAGTGCACAAGTCAGTGCATGGAAGGTTTGGGAGCGGACCAGGATTCCAGAGCTGCTCGAAGCAGCTTAGGTCTCTGGTCCCTGGCACAAGGCCAGGAACACAGTGCACAAGCGGTGCATGGAGGGGCTGTGAGTGGACCAAGACCCTGGTGCCGCACAAGGCGGCTCAGGACTCCAACCCCTGGTGCAAGGCAGGGCCACCAGTGCATGGAGTGGTGCACAGGGCCCCAAGCGGGCCAGAGGCTGGGAGAGCCCAAACCAGCTTTGGGCCCCTGCTGAGGAAGGAGGCACCTCACCCAGGGACAACAAGTTGGCTTCACTGGATCTTGAGGGAGCTGTGAGTTACAGGGGAAGGGAATTCCCACAGGGGAAGAGGGATCTTTCACCCTGTCATTTGGGACTAGCAGCTGGAGGGGAAACCTTGAAGGAGAAGGGCTCCCCGGGTTTATTGGAGGCTCTCTCCATAGGCTATTCAAGCTGGATTGCAGAGGGCCTGTAGGGCACTGAGGATCACTTTTCCCCTCTTGGGGTCCTTCCATTGCTCCAGGGTAACCCGGGTTATTCTTCTGGTTTTCTTGAGCATCTAAGTTGTGTATCCATTTCCCTGCATCTTATATTTTGTGAACTTGCGCCTCATGCTTTGTAGATTCGTATTTCATTAGAGTATAAGATTTCATGACATTTACTGAGAGCTTTGCTTCCCAGATCCCTCACCTGTATCCAGAGTATTTGCATAGCATTGTATATATGCCGCACATAGTTCCCATGTTTTTTATATATCTTCCATTTTTAACTCTTCTTATATATTAATAAATTTGTATATAGTTAAGTCTTAAGATGTATCCCAACTTTATAGGGGAAGGAGGTAGCTGCGTGGAGTAGGCAGTTTAAACCCACAGTGCACCTGCCCTGCTAACATTCCCTTCAATTGGAAAGGGGAGCATATAATTGGGTACTATCCAGACTACATAAAAAAAAAAAGCAAACCTAATTCCTTTTACCCTTCTCCTCCCCCCTCAAAATCATTACTGTTCCCTCTTATTAGGGGACATTTTTCCCCTATAACAAAGACACGTACAATATCAAACCAAGCCCCAAGACTAAGGAAAAGAAGATCCTTCATCTACTGTTTCTTTCAGAGGAAGTGAAGAACTAAATTTGAGATCAGAATGTCTTTCTACTTTCCCTTCCTTATTCAGTTAACCCCCCCCCCCCAATTATTTTGTGAGAAATTCATCTTTCAATTGATGATAAAAGATATGGTGATTATCTCATAGTTCTAGGTTACTGAGGCCTCAGGAACTTTCAAATATTGTATTTATGAAATACAGAATAGAAGTTTGGCCATTTTATAATTTCAAGTAGTAGCTAGCCAGCTGATGTATGGTTTTCCATGTACCTTAAATAACATTGAAATGAGACACAAAGTAGTTTACTGCATGTTTGACTGATCTGCATCTTAGCATCAGGAGCTATGGAAGGTGTAGGATCTGGAGTGTTAATGGTTACAGTGATTATCATGGATTTAAGATCTAGAGTATTTGGTGCTCGAAGACATTATAAGTCTTGTTAGTAGGAAGTAGTTGCATCTGGGTTGAAGGTTGAACCTAAGAATGAAGTGAGTTGTAGATAACTTGGTAGTAGCAGAGGAACCTTGCTAAAGATATTTGTATTCTATTACTTTTTTCAACTAACATAATTAGAAAGCTTGATTGTCTCTTCAAATTGTTGGAGATATAATATAAGGAGCAAGGACGAGGAACTGGCATGTTTCAGAAAACTTTACAGGAGCCTCAGAATTGCTTCCACAAGGTGCACATCATCTGTAAGAAACATTTGACTGTAATCAGAGTCTAAGGCAATCACCCTTTGATGAATTACTGCTAATGGGACTCACATGCACAATGCACTACTGATCACAAAGCACCCAACTAAAAGGAGACTTAACTTTTCAGGAATTTCATCCAGTTACAAAGGTCTCATCTGTGCACATTCCCAGGAAGGTTAGTATCAATGGTCTTGTCAGTCTTGCAAAGTCCTTATGATTTGGGTGGAGGATAAGGAAAGAAAGCTGTATATATTCCCCCTTGTACTCTAGCACTGACCTTGTTTGAAATGACCAAAGAACACTTCTCAAGAGACCACAGTACTTAAAGACTAGTAATTTTTATTTGATATTTTCAGGATGCTGTGGATGAATACATAATGAATGCAACTAGTCTTTTTGTTTCCCTAAGCAGCATCGCAGGTAAGAGTTACAGGGGAAAAAATGGGAATGCTATTTTTTGTTATATTCAGGCACTCATCTAATTCCTTTTGCTATAATTTTCTTTACCTTTTTGAGATTGCCATTGCATTTAAGGTGAACAGTATATCACCAAGTATTCTGGCTGTCATTTCCTCAAGGCATCTTTCTAATATTTTAATCTCTGTTTTTGCCGTATTGTGCTGCTTTATTAAAACACTGAAAAAATTATTCCAGTTATTGGGAACCACTCATATATTATTAGTTTTCTGTAAGCAAAGCAGACTACTAAGGATTTCCCTGGGTACTAATTTAGTTGTTCAGATTAATAACTCTACATAACCAGATGAGAACAATTTAACCATATGAACCAATCTTTTGTTCATAGGATGTAAACTTTTTTTCCCCCGCTATATCCTGAAGTGTCACTTATAATATGAAGGGCAGAAAACAAGAGCTTTTGACATGATTGGCATTTTAAAATTATGTTCCAACCTCATTTTCTCAAACTAGTATTACAGGATCATCATTTGATCCTGATTAAATTGTTGCTGTGCAAACTTCCAGTCTAGTTCTGAAGCCCTTCTAGGCTAGGTACAGACATTTAAAAAGTCTGAGGCAGAATCAGTCTGAGTGATATGGTTTTCTGTAAGCAACATGGTTTAAATTGGTAGCGAACAGAATACACATTCAGCGTTTGGGGGAAGGGGTGCAAATCTTAGACTGGGTTTTGCCATTTTTAAACCAATTTGTATGCTGAACTTCTGTTCTGTAACGGGTACAGACTGGTTCTGATCTCTTACACCAGTAAAAGTGTAATGTACCTGGCCCTATATAGTGTGATATTAACAGAATAATAAAGCTAACCCCATGAGTAATGATCTAGTAAGGGAAAACACTCATCATGCCAAGACACATTTCCTAAATATGGAGTGCTACATTTCAAACTGTCAAACTATTATTAATTTTACTGCTGGACTTGCATCAGTAAAGTGACGTAGATGTAGATCATGGAAAGCAAGAGTTTTCTTTTGACTTTTTGCTAAGTTTCTTGTCTTTTACATTTCTTGGATATTTGAACCAACTTGGCTGAGGGCTGATTGTAGCTTTCATTATACTTTAGCCTTAGTTCTAGCACATCTCTTTATAAAATCCATCTTGTTCCTGACAGAATTACTGTGTCTGATTTTTGTTTTGTTGATCTTCTAGTAGACATGGCATAGAAGAGACAGCCTAGTTGTGGGTGAGGGCTGAAGGTGTACAAGATAACACTTTATATTACCTTTGGCCCTTCCAAATTTTGGACTCATCCAAAGGACAAAATGCATCCTGACATGAAGGTTGCAATGCGGTGCAATATCAGTATCTACAAATGTGAGGAACAGACCAGTGCTCTTCTCTCCCATTTCCCCACCATGTTGGTTATACTGGGGCTTAAAAAGGCAGTGCTACCCCTTCATGGGGTAACTGGAGTTCCATTAATGTCGGACACATGCTACCAAATTGAGGAAAGGCTCTGTCCTCATGTGTCTTTTTGGAAAAATAAATCAGTATAGGAACAAAGCTTGTCTTTGCTATGCCACATGAAAATACTTCATTGTAGAGCTGTGTTAAGTATTACCACTTGAAGCTTATTTCAGGAAATGAGATAATCTTAAACACAATAAACTATATGACTAGCACTTTGTTATATTTCACAGATGGACTCATAGGAATGGGAATGTTTTGTCATTTCAATTCCGTTATTAAATTTATGTGGTATCTTGGCAGACTAGCTATGGATACATTCTTCATCTATGTTAGTAAAGGCTACACATTCTGGAAGACCTTTAGATAGAAGGTATCTTCTATGTTAGAAGCTGAGCACTTTTGAGCCATCCAAGGTTTATACATACACAGCTTCACTTAAGCTTAGAAATGTTATGACTTGAAACTTGCATAGAATTGTTATTCATAAGACACTATGATATCCTGAGCTTTCTCATGGTTGGTAAGAGGAATAAATATGGTCCCAGGCAGTGGTGTAACTAGGCATGGTGGAAAAGGGGAACCAGCCTCAGTCACCAAACTAGGAGGTGCACCAGAATAGTTTCCCAATCCCATGGAGTCTGTGCCTTGGCAGTAAAAGCAGTCCCACAGCATTGCTCTTGCAGCAGCACCAGCAGGTACATTGCCACCTTGCTGCTTTTGCCCTATGGGCAAGAGCAGAGGGAGGCAGAGCACATGGCAGTAGCAGCACAGTGCAGCTGGGGACTGTTTTTGGAGTTCTTGGCATGTGTAGAAGTCCTGCACCTCCGCACTACCCTCAGAAGTGTGCCTCTCCTTGTAACTGTATGATTCCTACTCTCCCACAAGGTTTGCACAGGGCACAAACCCTGCTTGTTATACCTCTGCTCCTGGACTTGTCATTCCAAAGCCAGATTGCTTACCCACAGTTTTTTTTCTGACAACCAAACTTTTTTATTGACATATATTTTACATGATGTAAATGTAACACTTCTGTCAGGCTCATGTGGGCCACAAGAGAACTCCCTGAAGGGCATAGAAGTGCACTCCCACTCAGACACAGGGTGGCGCTGCTCTGCCCTTTTATCTATCCACATTTGCATCCAGCCTCAATCAAGTTCATGATTTCTTAGTTATTTTGTGGACAGCTCACATTTTTTATGGACTTTATGGATGAGAATTTTTAGCTTTTTTTTTTTTTATGGACTGTCTATGAATTTATGAAGAATTGTCAACCTTGTTCCAGAGAGTGCTTATTTGTCCTTATACCCACACTGCAAGTCCAGATCCTGGGCTTAGTGCAGATATAAAGTGACACCAACCAATGGACTTTTCTGCCTCTCAGTTATCTTCCTCACACTTCCCTATCCTTGTCCCATCTCTTTTCCTGCATTCTGCTGCTCTTGTCAGTTGTTGGATATTTGAAAAGCAATGGACTTGGCTACACCTTTTCCATCAAAAATTAATGATATAATGGGTTTTAGAGTAAGTGTGTCAAAAGTCAGGCATAAATAAGGAACAATCTATAAAATCACTGACTTGAGCAAACAAAATAGATCAGTGGTTTAATTATCAAAGCACCAGAGGAAATGTAGTCAGTCTTCAGCCAATAAAATCAGTCTAATTAATCTGGCCTGACCTATGTCTAGGGATCTACTTAAATCAAGCTGCAAGTGTGCTGTGCAGCAGCTCCTTTAATCTTACTCTTTTTGATACACACCCCTCTCCACCTTTCATTGGTAGAGGGCCCTGGCCAGCCCTGCTGCTTGTTCCTGATAGGGAGGGAGGCAAAACCCATGGCTTTAAATATGCTGAAGTTTCTGCCTCCCAGTCCATCAGTAGCAAGCAGTAGGGCTGCTGTGGCCCCTTGGCCAATCAACAGCAAGAGGCAAAAATTGTGGCATATTAAAACCACATTTTTTTCCTCCTGGCTGATCAGGAATGAGCAGCAGGGCTGCCAAGGCCCCTCTGCCAATCGTTTCTGGAGGGGAGGAGGCAGTCCAGTGAAAAGAATAATATTAAAGGATCCACTGCACAGTGCACTTCCACCACAATTTAGATAGATCCCTTCCCATGCCCAGTGTGACTCTCAAAGAGTTGCATCCTGAACAACTTCAGTCATGTCAGGGCAGAGCACGATTTAGCATCAGAGGGCTAGGAGAGCTCTTGCAGATTAAATTAAAATCAGTACCCAACCCACAACTATTACTAATTCTATTATTATTCCCTTAATTTTAGTTACATAGTCTTAATTCTTATGTTCCTGGGTTTTGTGGGAATTGACTTGGATAACATTTTATATTTTTGAACCCTAAACAATTTAAAGTGACAAAGCTAAAAGCAAGGGAACAAATACTAATAATAAAGCTTTCAGAAAATCCTGTTCAGTTAACTTTAAGACTAGAGACAAACATTCAAAAAGCCTGAGCCTGAATTCATTCATTCTTTGCAGGTTAGTCTAAACTGCCTAGATTGAACTGGCTTGCAACTGTACAGACATTCCCTCTGGACTGAAGAAATGCAGGCATATGTCTGAAGTGGCTCAGGATAGAAGCCAGGGGGCACTAGAGCAGCCCTCCCTTCCCTTCTACAGTATTGAGCTGAGGGAGGGTGTGATCAGGCCCTGGCAGGATGCTCTGATTAGGGAGGCATTTAAACCCCCAACCCTGCCTGCACTATCCCAGCCTTTTCCCTGCTTGCTGCTTAAGGGATGGGAGTGTTGCCAGACCCTAGCCCCAGGCTAGCATTTTGAGGTGAAGTGGGGGATGTGCAGTGCATGCATCAGTTGATGATACGGAGCTTTTCTATCTCCCTCTCCTTGCTTCTTCTTACTGTCTGCAAACCTGACAGGTGAGGGAGCCAGGAGGGGGCTGATAACACGGTGTTTATCAGCCTATCAACAAAACAAATGCCTCTCTCATTAGTTCTAGTTCTTAAACAACTTTTTCCAAGGAAGGAACAGAAGGACATTACCAGCTGACCTGTTGATTAGCTGTTCTGTCTGCCTGTGCCAGTGAAATTGGAGCCACATCACCTCTCAGCATTAGCTAGCATACCACATACCTAGAGTCTATGGGGTTGGGGTCAGTGCTGTGGGAGATGGGAGGGAGGGAGATCCCTGCTTGAGCAGAGAGTGGGGGGCGGGGGGTAGGGGGAAGCAAGGCAGATCCTGCTGTGCCTGCAGTCTACGCCAGAGCTCTGGCTAGGAAACAGAAGGGTGGGGCCATCCCTGTTCTCTGGAACAGAGAGCACAGCTCAGGGTTGCAAAACATATGTGATGCCGAGGGACTCTGGTTTTACTTAAACCAGGAAGGGGCCTGGGACAGACATTGCATAAACTGGTTTGGCCCAAATCAGTTAAGTCTGATACTATATTCAACCAAGTTTATCTTAAACCAGTTTAAGCCATTTTGAAACTGGTTTATGTGCATTTAACTTATGTTCTGTTACAGTTTTAAACCAATTTCTGATCATCACTTAAACCAGTTTATGTGTAA